AGCAAATATTTCATGAGGATAACTATATTACGTTTACTTCGGGAACTTTCTTCTCAAATACATAAATAAGTATACGAAAAAGTGTAGTGACTTTTTAAATGCTTATTTTAGGCTTTTAAATGCCTGTTTTACATTTTTAAATTCCTATTTTGCCTGCCTATTTCCACATTTTTTTGAGTCTAAAACTTCCAGCTTAATTATGACAGGTAAAGCAAACATTTACATGGAAATGAGGTTGGACAGAAGTAGTTTTTACCTTCGCTGTACTCGAAAGGGTTAAAGAAAATACACAAGTTACCAATTCAGTACTGCCATTGAGAAAACGTAAATGTACGTGAAGTGATAGTACACCCAATCTTATCAATACTAAACGGATGTTTGTTTTAATTTTCGCAATAATTAATTTATCATTTGATTTTAGGAATATATGGTCATTTTAGGTTGTAAAACAATTTTACGTACAAATTATCTATTAAAGTTTCGGAACTTCTCGTTCCAGACTGATCCAGAAGAGATTTCAGGATTGCGCCAGGATCATCTAAAAATACACACGCATGTGAATTATTTTTCCAACTACATTTTTTCAAAAAGATTAGTGGTTTTGCGTAATTTAGAGTTAAATATTGGCAATTGTAAACAAGAATATTTCAAAAATGGCTACTGTTTTTTCTTCAAAGTTTCAGTACGAATATAGCTAATTTCACTGAATAACATGATGTGAGAGCCATTCTGATGTATTAGTTTGATTTTCAAAATTTCTCTGATGTAAATATTTACATTTCGGGCATTTTTATATATTTTCAAATATATATTTTTTAAATGATTTCTTATGACGTATCTAAAAACTCAAATGTTTTCTGTGAAAATAAGCTTAAAAATACAAATATTCGAAAAAAGACTTGAATAACATCTTAAAAATGGGCACATGATATTGCATATTGATGCGAAATTATAATTACGAAACTACATTGCCTTTCTTCCTTTGAACTACTGTTTTAACGGCTCAGTATCTGGGTTATTTTCCCTGTATATATATATAATAATATATATTATATATATTATATATAATATATATATTATATATATTATATTCCTTGATATAATTGTAAATATTCTCTCGGAATCTTGTTCTCATTTTGTTACACCAATGCTCGCAGCGGGTCTGAAGACCTCTCAAAACGATTATTCCTCAAACCCACTGGAAAAATATTTTCCCCTTATAATGCAATACTACGATTAGAGATAATACAGGAAAGTATACGGAACAACTTATCTATATTTCGCCTGGAGAAACAATGAATCCAGCTCGTCCGCGTGCAGTGTTAAAGTGTAATATGTTTCACCTGTATGTCATAATATTGTCCATTGATAATGATTTAACATTGTTAATTTTGTATTGTTATGTGTATAAAGATTTTAAACGTTTTAACTAATGAAATAGGAAATTAGCATTACATCTAATAGAAAGTAGTATGCCGTTATTTCCAGACTAAAACTGTCTAATCTGAAATTCGATTTAATGTTAACTTGGTACGTCTTGAAACATCTTGAACTTTTGAAAATACACAGAACCAACGTAGATGACCTTAGATTGAAAGGTGAACAAATCGCGAACAGTTAAAGAGTTCACGCAGAAGAAAAACAAACAAACAAGATTTACGGGCTAATGAATCCACCGCCTTATCTGGATTTGGACGTCGACTGTCTGTCCGAGTTGCCATGTTTTCAATGCAGCAAACACGTGCGCACTTCCATTTCGATCCGCCGTCCCTTGAATTGCTCTTGAAGGCGGTGTTTATTTAGAAGTCGTTATGTCGACAACGACTGTCGGGGGGGGGGGAAGGGGCTAAGAAATGGAAGTACTGCGCTCCGTTTTTCGCGCATGCTTTTAATTTTCTCTTTGGCGTCTCAATGAGGGAAGTGAATGTTCTGGAAAAGTGTCTCGTTAGCTTATTTTCTCCCTTTGAATCTTCGTGTTTCACTTTCCTTTTTTATTTTTTCGTCTTCTTCCATCTTTTATTCAATCTCGTGGAAACTGCGACTCAATACGGGAAGCAATAATCAGGAGAGCTTGGCGTTGTTGGCTAATAATCTGTTCATCCTTTGATAAACTTTACGGCACTTATTAGATAAAAACTTTGACCTTATTTGATTTCGTTATTGAGTATTTACGTCTTCACTCTCTGGTTGAGAGCTTGCGACAGTGGATATTATGGCAGATACTCAAGTACATTTATATTAAAACTATGGATAGGTAAATAATATGCACGAATAAATGCTTTAAAATATTGCGGAAATTTTAGCATCGTGAAACTGATCCTTTTTGCAATTCATGCACGCTGTATGAAAAGTAATTGAAAAAATATTTGTGCCTAGAATATTGCAATTGAATACTTTGTAATGCATCAGCCAGTTTTGTTTTCTCGCGCTTAAGAAGGAACTTCTTAAGAAGAGAAAGTTACGTAATGCTTCGCGAAAAAGATGTATTTTTGGCAGAAAAGCTATTTATACCGGGCCATGGTAACAAAAAAGTGGAAAAATCCAATTGCTAAATTTAGAAAAAAATTCTCTAAGACGTGGTGTACCTAGCCAGAATCTATGCTTAATGGGTCCTTGATACCGAAAAATTAATTGACAGCAATGCGCCTTTCTGTCCTTCTGTCTGTCTGTGAACAACGCTAGTAGTTACACTGTTCAGCCGAGTATCTTTAAAATTGATATTACCCAATCGACCTGGCTAATGTGACGGTCCCTCTCATTTGAAACCGATATTTTAATTTTGGGAGGTACTTTACATTAAGCCACTGGGTCATTTTCAATTTTTTCAAAAAAATGACGCCATTGGTTTCGATTAAATTATATTTTTGGATAGTCTGAAATACTATGTTAGCAAACGATATGAAAGTATTCCAGAAAATAGGGAGTCTTAAAATGTGTTACTATTGTATGAATTCAAATGTATTAGATTTGGGGGGATAAAGTATGTTTTTGTTTCCGGTACCTTTAATTTGGAAGTTAAATATGAGAAGGTACATGTTAAAAATTTCAACTCTACAATGCAAGTATATAATAAAAATAATTTTTAATCATATTACAGTCTTCTGGCTGTACATTCGCCGGCAAAAATAGTTAGATGAATTGATAGAACTTTTTCAAGACTAATCTTTACAAATAAAATCAAATTTATGTCAATCGGATGAATTAGTTGTAACAGTTCAGTTTGCCAGAATTTCAATAAAAATAATTACAATATATTTCCATTGTAGAACCCTTGAGACTTTAAAATAGGATTTTTTTAGAATTCTTTCAAAATGTGTTGGAAGGATCCGGAAAAATAGTGCCAATCGACTTGTCTTGTGGAGAGGAATCAAATGGGCTAATTATCACCTCGTTCATCTTCTTCAAATGCGTTTTTGATGTCTTCAAACAAATGTTTGTGTGTTTAAGATCTTCCCCCAATATGTTCATTTAAAAATTATCACTGGTCCTGAATTATAGAACGAAAGAGGCGTCCATGAGTAAGGAACAGTTGAACAATCGGAGAAACTTAGATTACCTGATTACTAGTATGTGTAGGATTACATGATAATGCGAATTATCTTTCTTTACTCATAAATGGTACTTCACGATACTCATCAGAAATCTCAATAGAAAGCTCTTATTTGAGTGTGTCACATACAAACGAAGCATTCTCATTTTTTCGGAGTCACATAAATTGCTCTTTGCAAAAAGTTAAAATTTATTTTCCAAAAATATTTGACATCGTCTCTTCATAAACTAATCATTCTTATGAAATGAAAGTGTAATAATCAATTATCTGCAACACAGAAGAAGTAGCTGATAACATTTTATCACAGGGGCAAGGGTTCAAACAGTATTCATGAAGGTTATTTTTATTGTTTAATGCTGAAATTCTGTTATTATGACCCAGCTTATCAAGTATATTGTGAATCAGCTTTGTGATCACATCCTTGCAAAGAAATGCACATGTTCTGGTCGACTGTCCTTGTACGCTTCTTCGAGTATCGTGCTTCGTGTGAGATGAGATTACGACAGTTAAAAATTTTTTGGTACTTTAAATAACTTCATTTGCCTAAAATGTATTATTAATTAAAAACCACAGACGTTTAAAGTTATTTGTTACAAATATGTTATAGCAGGTTTTACTCACGAGTGGATTGAGATGAAGTATCGACCTCGAATGAGCAAAAGTTATTTAACCCAAGAACACCACATAAAATTTTGTTCAATTCTCCTTCGCATTGTATACATTTTTTAAAGAAATTTGTGAAAATAACTTTTAAGAGTTGAAATTTTAACGAAGATAAAAATCAACAAATGAGTTGGTAATAGAGTTAATAACAAATTGTTTGGCAATACAACATGTTGACAATGGTAGCCGAGAAGGGAAATTGTTAGAAAATGAGAAACTTGCGACAAAATGTATCTCTTGCAAAATCAAGGGGAAATCCAAAATTAGTACACTTAGTTTATAAATTGGAGAAAGGGATGAGTTTAAGAGTCAACGAAGAATTATTAATTCGCAGTTCTAAGTACATATTAGGCTAGACCTTCAAACCACCATTATAACGAACGTCTTATATGGGAAAACTCCGAAAATAATATTGGTAAATGTATATTTCAAATAAGGAATTAGCCATTTATACTTTTAAAAGATTGGTTATGAATGCAGTTGTGGAATAAGCGTCAACTTCAATGGTCGACAACATAAGGAATTTAGATAGTATTGAAGAAGCACATTTTGACATTTTCGTAAATAAATGAATAATTTTGAACTCGTGGAAAATAAACCTCTGCAACTTAATTGTATTTTTATTTCATAAACTGAAAATGTACGTATGTGTACCAGTAGTAAGTTAAGGGTCGTGGCAACATGTAAATGCCGACTCGTAATGTACCTCATTATTTGCTCAATATCAACATTGGGACTGAAGATATTATACTATAGTATTGAATCAAGTCATTTTCTATTTTTTCAGATTCCTCTCGAATTCTCTTCGCAACTTGGTGGATCTTCATTACCATCCTGACTTCTTTCTACACGGCCAATCTGACTGCCTTCTTGACCCTCTCCAAGTTTACTCTGCCCATCAAGGACGCCAAGGACATTGCCAAATACCGCTACAGGTGGATCGCGCAACAAGGAGGACCCTTGGAACATCTGGTTGATGTAAGGTTATCGCCATGATCTTCATTTGAAACCGCACTTGAAAAATCAAGCAGAGGCAGATATTTTGTGGAAAAAAGTCACAGAACACACAACAGACAATTGACTGAGATAGATACAGCTGGTAGCAATGCAGAATCTCTTTTTTTGGGGGGTTCTAGGGTTCGAGTCCTAACGGTGGTGAAGTTTTCGGCACTAGCTGGACAGATGGATCGAATTCAGCCACTCTCTGAAAGATAATTCTAATTGCCTTCTGCTGTGAATGGTAGTTTTATCGGGCTTTTATCAATCAGAACCTGGATAACGCTGGAGCAATACCTTAAAAACGGGCCACACTGCTTCAAGAATCCTTCCTTCCTCACTCTTGTCTCCGTCTCCCCCAATACACTTCCGCACATCGGGATAGCCGTTGTGCGCTTAGAACTTGTTCTGCCTCGAGAGGTGCCCCGCTGTGGGAGATACCTGGGGAGGGGTAAACACTACATCCTCTCAGGACACTACATGCATAGCACGTACAGCACTAATGGCTACAGCAATTGACGCGCCTGAAAACATACTCGTAAATTAATCAACACACCACAATGTACAACAATTAAAGAATTTAGATTTTTTGATCCTGTAATTAAATAGATAAACAATTGAAATAACAAGCTCCAAAAATTTAGTTCTTCAAAATTATATTTTGCTTTTATAAAAATATATGAGTTTGATGGGTTTGATCCTCCCATCTCCTGGCTGGCCGTAGGGGACGAGATCCATTAGACATCACTTCCATAAGCAGGGCCTGCGTAAGTTATTATGGCGGCTAGAATTGATAATAATTCCACAATAAGAGTAGATATTTAGCTTTCATTGTTCCACTGAATCTAAATCAATTGAAAGTAACGAAGAGAACAAAAATAATTGATCAAAGTTACAGTAACTTCACCTTCACAAGTTTAAAGAGACCTAATCATTGCAATCAGTAATTTTTTAACTCGTTCCGTTAAGAAAGATGTTGAAACAAAATGATTCAACTCTAAACGCAGTAAACATTTTATCAATGACCACTGACATTTAATACATCATTTTCATTTCTTTTTATTATGTCGCATACCTTTTAATTATAAAAACGCCATTTCTCTAAATTACTCTCTTAATGTTTGGGTCAATTTTAAGTGAAATGCAGTTTAAAAAAGTGAATACAATTTGATAAGTAAGTGTTTAATCCATTTGTCTCATTCGATTTTGTGTTGTTTCCTACCCAACGCTTGTTCTCTCTTCGTATTAGAATCTCGCGTGATCGATCGTTGCACCTGAGACAACATTGCTGTTCAGGGAACGAGCGATCCACGCACTACCTGGTCGTTCTGAGTCCGTCGGACGGGGGAGGGAACCAAACACAGCATGACGTATTATGACATGCTTCCGTTTTATTACGAAGCCCGAAAAAGTGTCTTTTTTCGCTTCCGATCGAAAGAATTATACTTCGTTCGCTTTTAAAAGGACGCTTTTAAAACTTTCTACAGGACGCTGTCCATTCAAAGAAACATTGTCATTTTATTTCAGAACTGTATCAAAAGTTTCTGAGAAAAAAAATGGAAATCATTTGATTTCCAAGCGCTTCAGGAGCATAATAATGTACACAAGTAAACTTGTATGTTATCAACCCGAGTTTCACATATGGTATTTTTAGTGTTAACGAAACCTCATTTAATTATATAATCACAATTATTTATTTCTTAATTTCATTTCGGTTTGTCAGCGTGTTTGCGTTTGAAATTACCAACACAAAAAATAAAACGTTTACGCTTATTTATTGCTGATTTGGTTTTCAATGATAAATGTGTTCAAGTTAATGTCTACGGAAAGTATTGTTTTGTTAAAGAAATTACGTCATTTTAAACAAAATATGTTGGTATTCAATGTGGTGTTTCAACTGAGATTAGGTAACAGCGACTAAAATGGAATACAGGATATCTCAAGAACAAATGATATCTTCAAAGTGCCTGCCTTGTAGACGTTATACGGCACCCGCACAGTTTTGCTCAGTCCCTCCCATCCCTTTTCCAGTTCATAAACCATTGCCATCAACTCCATCTAAGTACAACCTCCTGGCAAGGTTATGGCCACTTTTCCCAGCACTCGGAAGATGAATAACAGTGTTACAGTCCACGGTGATCGATAACTCTCCGATGGTTTGCTTGTGATAAAACATGTTATGCTCTGTACGCAGTGTCTTCAAAGGTATCGTTGTGCCTTAATGGCGGGGTCATTTGAAGTTAATTACAGAAAGTGCAGAAGTCATACATATGTCTAACTCCAAACCACATCTAACCAGCAATTAATTTTTTTGGCAAATTTGTTTTTGTTTTAATTACCTACACGTATGGTATTCGAAATTGTGCCGTATTTACGTTATTGTTTTTGTGATTAATCGCAAAATGTATTAATATTCTTACTGTCAATATACTACTGTACTACTGACACAAGTATGCAAATATATTCTATGCACAAAAACGAATTAATTATTTAAATGTTTCAGACAAACGAAGACTTTGATTATTTGAAGGCCTCCCAGCAAAAGGGTTATGGGAAATTCCTGAAGAAGACAGATGTAGAAATGTTGGAAGAAATTCAGAAAAGTAAGTTAAAATTATTTTGTAGCAAACGGGAAGACGTTAACAATATTTTCAACGTACAAAATTTTTCGCCTTTTGATCAAAATTTAATGCAGACAAGCCATTGGGTTTGTGTGGCCGATGTGAAGGTATCAAACCATTATCGCGAGATCGAAAACTAAAATCCGCGATTGAAATGACATCTAAAATATATAATAAACTTTTATCATGATTCATTTTCTGAAGTCAATATTGAAATTCTTATGGTCAACAAAATTAAAGAAAGATTTTGACACTTTTCGTTTTAGTGTCCGGTATTAAAAGTTTTTCTGTCGACAATTTGCCATTTTCCGGAGCTTGATTATAGTACTTTATCCTCTTACAAAGTAAGGACAAGAAAGTAAAAATTAAATTATGATCTCTTCATTATAATGAATTATTAATATAGGAGTTTGATTTCGAACCGTCAGCGTTGACGGGTCACATCTAGTTTTCAATAACATACCTCCAAAGATGATTCATCGATAATTTGTAACACATATTTAGTACCTCTTAAGGTATTTCTAAAAACGCTTTACTACATTTTTCGACAAAATTCTAATGTCTCTTCCGACATTTAATCTATACGTTTATTTTATGCCACCTGCTGTAGAGGGGCTTGGATACATCTTTTGGAAGAGACGACTTAAATTATCTTTTGATCTGTTATGATCTAGAATAAACATTTGAGGCATTTCGAATGTGAAGTAACCAAACTCCACCCACTATTAGTCATTCCCTATTGCGTTCCCTATTGTGTCTTACAGATAACCTAATGTATCTCCGGGAGAAAAACGCAGTGGAACATCTGATGCTGAAGGATTACAACGAGAAAGCTAAGGACCGGTCCTTAGAGGAGAAGGAACGCTGTACTTTCGTCATGACTCCAGATGCTTTCATGGCTCAAACCATCGCCTTTGCCTACAAAATGGAAGGAGACCTGCACATTCCCTTCGACAAAGTGTGAGTATTGCAACATCAGAGTCTATGAAAAATTATCTGCACCACTGGCATCAAAGGTCTTGTGGTTCCTTGTAGATTTGACTTGAAGTGACATGTGCTCATGTGATTCTTGAGCCTTTGGACCTTTAGTTTTTCTCAATACACAGTCCTCGTATTTTCTCCTACGTGTTCGTTTGAGACAATTCCAACCTTCAGTCTCAATAAACCTCTCAATGCATATTTTACGGCAAATAATGAAAAACCAAACAAATAGAGTATGAGAAGCGAGCGGGGATGATAAACGTATTTTCAGTATCGTTTCCGAGACAGTTAATTCAACATAATTAAGCTGTTCGTGTGTACGTAGCTACATGCTATGAATGCATAGCACGTTTACCTATCGATTATTTAACCTTCTTGCTATCTTGGGGATTATTTTAAACATGTTATAAGAAACAAATAGTTCATTTATCGTTGCTTGGACAATGAGATGACATTTTAATTTTTTATTGCGAGTATGACTCCACTTAATATTAGCAATATTTCGGTAGGTTCTCTGATAGTCTAATCAAAATATTAAAAGATGCATTTTAAATGAGAAGTATACTCGTAGATCTGCGTCTTTTTGGAAAAGTAATTTCAGTCAAATTGATCGACATTTAAGTTATTTAATGGACAATATTGTCTAGGAATTCTGAAAGAACTAAATCATAGACAATATTGTATAACCAAAGTTGTTTTGAACAGACATTGGTTCGAGAGTGCATAAGTTTGAATGTTCCATTATTTTTTGGAAATTTATTCAAAACGTTTTAAATAGAAAATAAAAATATTTATGAATTTCGGAACATATATTATTATTATTATTATTATTTAATTTGTATGCAAAAAGTTTCTTCCATAAATCTCCCTACTTGACACTGTAGCTACGTATCTATAGTACTTAACGACCGGTGGCAACAATATTTACATTAATTTGCACTGCAACTATCTTCAGATTTTCATGCAAATAAAAGTTTATGAAAATAATTAATTGTTGTGAAATGTGTTTATGAAAATAATTCACCAGCGAATTGATCTTTACAACAATAAAGATATTTTTATTACTTAACTAATGTCTTGTATGATAACTCGGGTAACAAGTTTCAGTAATGATAAAAGTTTCTGAAAACTAACGAGTAGTGTATACAATATAGATTTTAATAAAAAGAAAATTCAGCCATACATGTGCAACGGGACATCATCCCATTATCGCTGGCTCCAAATAACATAGATTAAACTCGTAAAAAGACCTAAAGTCCTAAGATAGTGCCATCTTGTACGTCGTACGAAGTACAGAGACATACATAATATCTCTGCTGCCACTACGGAATTTAACTTGCAATAAAAAGTTAGTACCACAATTCACACAATTCGTACAAGTTTGTAAAGTACTCATTTTTAGATGTTGTTACTATTATTACTATTACGATTATTATCACTATTATTATTATAATTTGTTTTTTAGTAGGAATGGATTGGTGTATTCGCGATAATTTCAGTTCCTACAACCCCCATAAATACGTTTAAAACAATAACCATGTAGAGGCTGAACGGGCAGGGAGTGACGTTGGCCGTGATGCCGTGCTGCCGCAGGTTGCTGAGCCTCGTGGAGACCGGCATCGTCAAGTTCCTGATGCGGCGCGACCTGCCGCAAGTGCAGGTGTGCCCGCTGGACCTGGGCAGCAAGGAGCGCCAGCTGCGCAACGCCGACCTGTGGATGACGTACATGGTGGTGATCACGGGCTTCAGCACCTCCATCGCCGTCTTCGCCGCCGAGATGCTCATCCGCCTCTACCGTTACTGCAACGCGCGCGAGCTGCAGAAGCACGAGGAGATGGCGCAGCAGTACCCGGGCGACTGGAAGTCCATGGCGTTCAAGAAGTCGCAGCTGCAGGCGCCGTACGGCATCTTCGGCGCCAACGTCATGCCCACCGCGCCGGCCGAGCTGGGCATGAACGGCCAGCCCAAGCTCATGCCCATGCGGGGCTCCGAGTCCGCCTTCATGTTCCAGTACACGGCCTAATGCGCGGGCGGCGGCTGGCCCGCGGCTCGCTGCCGCTGCGGGTTAAGAGAGCGATCGCGACAGGTTGGTTTCTCTCCCTGAGGATTTATTGGGCGACTACCGAGGATGGTTTCTGGTGGTAGAATGGGAAATTTCTTCATTCTTGCTATCCCTAGCAGAATCAAACGCGTGCTTCTCAACACTGAAATTTGAAGAAGTAACATCGTCACGGAAAGAAATGTTAGAGAAAAGACGCAAATTTTCGAACCTTTTTTCTTCACACTAAATATTAATGACACATTAACAAAAATACATTTGTTGTTTAATTGTAAAGTATTTCAATTCATCCAAATATTCATCGAAAGTAAAACAACAACAATAATAAAATAAAAATGATAATTTATAAAGTATTAAGGCCTAAAATAAGTCAGTCCAACAAACCACAGACTTATATAATTGAAGTATAATCAAGATGACAGTCGGAAACGTTTCCTCGAAAACTTCTGTTTTAAATTTGCACCAAAAAACGTGCTCCGTGATGATGTAATAATGCGTCTAATCTAAGTGTCCCGTATACAGCAATCAAAATAGCATTCATTTGCTCCAGATTCACCTCTCGTGTTCAATATGTTTCTTTTTTCCATAATCTTGTCTCCCTTTAAGTAGTTTGAAAATTCAATATGAAGTGTTTACCCCGTTTACAAACAAAAACATTTCATTTTCAGTTAGTTTGCGAAGAACGGTTTTACGATTTTTTTTATTTTGCACTACTTAAAGCGGAAGTATATACTTTTAAGATCATTTTTATGTTGAATTAATTTGGATTAAATGTAATTTATCTACTTTGTTGAAATATTGAGATTTAAAAGATTTTTTGCACCCTTGACAGACAGAGGTAACAAGGAACAAACACGAAAACTAAAAAATGCAACAAGTAAGTAAAGTTCGAGATAATTTTGTAACTGTACATGATGTTCTTCTTTGTGAACACTATCTCGGGCACTCGTGGATATCACAGTTTGTGACGTCGTTTTTGTGCTTCACACAGTGAGCGCACGGAAATAGTGGATTTTAGAATATTTTCAGAAAACTGAAAGTGCATTATTTTTACAAATATGCATATATATAATGGTAAGATATTCGGAAACTAGATGTAGATATCTTTCTATCAAGTTTCATGACCAAATATCACTGTTTGCCTATATATTACATTTCTTTAATATTCATACGTTCACTTGATTTCAGAATTGTTTGAATCACTTGAAATCTGTGTAATATAGCAAAACCTATATTGTTTCTCCACCCATTTAGTTAGGAATAAGCCAAGAACATTTGTCACAAACTACGTTACAGGTATGTAATCACACACATGGTCAAATAATACTTTTTTTTACTGAATTCTGTACATGAGATATCATGAATGTCAAAGCCTGTGATTTAAAACTGTTAATATTGTATGCAGATAAAATAAAACCGGGTTATAAAATATACCTTTTGTATATTCTAATTTTGTTTAACAATTCTTACCTTTTTTGAAAAATAAAGTTAATTTGCAAACAGTAAATAATTTTTACTTTGCTTCATAGATAATAATTAAAGGAAAGCGTTTTCCCATTAGAGGAATCTGGCGAAAATAATGCGTTCTATAGAAATGCTCTCAAAATATGACGTTTAAAACTGACACAAACATATAATTCTGTACTCCAACGCTAGTACTCGCTGCAGAATAATGAAGACGAGCAATACTATCTATCTACTGTTACGTATTGTCATTTGTTTGCATACTCGGAGAGAAAGTCACTTCTTACTGGCAGGAAGATTGTTAGGATATTAAGTAGGATAAAAAGAATCCATAATGACAAAGTAACAAATTCAGCGGCCCAAACAATTAGGTGCGACTACTTTCATGATTTGACCAATTCATTTATAAAACGATAGTTTTTGAGCAAGAACATGGTACAATTGTTCGATAGATACATGAGAGTCAGAACACATTGGGAAAATCTAACAGAAAGACAGTACCTGAAAAGGTACGAACATATTAATTTTTGCAAATTTTGAATGTATCTAATAGTTGAATAATATTTGTCATTACTTTAGGTAAAACGCAATATTATGTGCTTGCCACCGAGCTTTTCGCTTCATGCACGACTGCAGGAGAAATTGCCTCACCAGAAGTCTACCACTAACATACTGTTTACTCCAAATTTGCAAAGAATTTCTGTCAGCCATGGTTATTGAATTACAACTGGAATTATTGGAAACAATTATTAGCAATTGTAAGTATTTAATGATATTACTTATATACCAGCTGAACTCGTGCGATTGCACCGCACAGAAGGAGAGATGTAGAAAAATTACTACAAAAAATACAGCATTTCCATGAACACATGTTTTATATCTACCAAGATCTTTTGATACATACATGGATATTGGTTTGACCTATAACAGTAAATGAATTGAACTGAATTCTTATTGAGAGTATTTTATTCTTATGAGAGTTATTTGCAAATGGGAGAGATTTTTCTATAGAAGTGTTAAGAAATTCAACAATGACATTATATCTTTTTAAAATATCCAAATTGACAAATTTGAAACTGTTGAAATAAAAGACGGATTCATTTAGTTTCTCTTTCAGTTTTTTCCAATTCAGTTTTTTTAATTATATCTATAATTCTTACAGTGATCTTTTATAAATGTTTTGATGTTAATGTGAATTAAAATACGAAAATGATCACTTCCCAATTTATCATCCAAATTATCCAATTTCATAAAAGTGCCAATGAAGGAGACATAAAAGAGAGATCTAGGTTTGAGAAATGATTTATTAAGTGTCACATGAGTCGGTTACTTACTATTTAATATAAATATATTATTGGAATACAGGCTATCAACTATTATTTTTCCATTTGTGCAATTTTTATCAGTCCCATAAAGTATGGAGGGCGTAAAAGTCTCCAACCAAAATAAATAGATTATATTAATTTAAAAATATTTTGTTCATTCAAGAAACAAATATATTTATTTAACGTTGGACATCTGTAACAGGCTAAGATTAAAATATTTCCTAGACAAGAAGAAACGGAAATACATCCTGCCTCAATTATTATTTAATATTATTTTAAAAATTTACCTGTCGATTTAAAAAAATAGATTTACTTCATTTGTCCTTGATGCAACAAGACACATTCATCAGCGACTCATTTCTGAGCTAATTTAATTGCAACACTAGATGACAGGGAGCTGTGATTTTCAGCAATAGAATTCATCTGTGGAAGTTCACATTCAGGGATTTTTGATGTTTCATCTACGGAAGTGATCTAGGGTAGGGTATTTTGACCAATGCTTGAAATGATAGTGGAAAAACGATTTTGAAGTGAAGATTCGGAAGATGAACTTTGCTCTCCCTGAGGGATCAATCTTGCAAGATCTTTAGATTTTATTGCAAAATCTTGGAACTTAGCAAAATCTTGGAACTTGACTGATGGTGAGACTGATGAGAAATAGATAAGATATTTGCTTTTCTTTTAAAATCTGTGTTGTGAGTTGTTTGAACTTGAAAATTTTCTTTTGTGAGTAAAGAAGGATTAATTTTCGCAAGAATTTGTTTTTTGTCATCATAATAGAATATATTATTATAAGCCATTACTTTATTACTTTCATGGTATATTTGATATATTGAATATCTGGATCAGTAGATTTATGTATGTCTTTACAATTGAAACATTGTAGCGTTTGAGAAGTATATTTGTTCTTATGTTTAAGATCTCTACAACAAAAGCAAATTTCTTTGCCTTAATAGAATTTATCGGTATGCCTAAAGTAACTGCATTGGTTGAGATACAAAACGTTCCACTTTCTTTCGAACATGGAAAATAAAGATATCAGTAGGAAAATACTGACCATCAAATGATATGAGTACTGTTTGGCTGGATATCCATTACTCATGACTTCTCGCTTGAGCAGCTTTATTCTTTCGGCTTAATCTCTTGACTTCTAAAATTTTTATCTCCGATTCCGATTGGGTAGCGTCTTTGTTTTCTACGTTTAAAATTCAGTAGGAATTCCCTTTATAATTAATTTTCTCTACTTTCTAAAGCCGGGAACAAAAGCCTCTAATCCTTGTGTCTGAAAGTATTTGACTTGAATGAATAAATTAGCGTCGTGGCGTTTTTTAAAAAACACTTCTACTTTATACTCCCTTTATTTCGAATATCGAAGTTTGTTTTTTGTTCTTTAAAGAGAAAATTTCCCACTTTGTATCCGTTAATCGCTTCGTTGTCCGGTTCAATATCTTTTAACCCAAAAGGGCTTGGTTATTATGATGAAAACACACTACTGTTTGAAAATTGAGATAAAACTGCTCTTACTTGGGGAATAGATGGTTTATAGGTATTGTTCGGAAGAATCTTCACCGTTGTCAGTTTTTCCGTCTTCTCTTCAACATAGACCGAATGATTTTTACATCCAAGCCTTCAGAATCCATAATTTAATTTCAACGCCTGGAAACACATGGGTTGTGTTTTGAATACAACAGCACCTGAAGGTCTGCATTTTGAATTAGTTACCAAGAAAGACGTACGTTGTGTTGTTTTATGAAAATAAAATTGTTAGCACGTTTTATAAGTAGTGGTCTGTATAGTCTATTGAAAGTGAAAAAGAGAAAGGGCACGAATTATATTCAACTGCATAAAGTAAATCCGTAAAAAATATAATTCATTAAAACCACAGTGGAATACCTAGCGCATTGTGAACGGTTGCGCTATCTATGAGAAGAATGAAAAGCGTTGTAGTATAGAGATTCGTCGGTAGATGTCATTTGTGTGCCCAGGTTCAAAGACCTCTTGGCGCTAAAGACCTCTTGGCGCTAAATTGAATAATGATTAGTACGGTGTCACTGCGGAAGCGAAAACTTTTTATTTTAAAACTACTACCTCCTTACTATTTCCTTCAATGGAATCATGAATATTGATTAGAATAGTAATAATACAGAAATTTGGAAAACGTTCGCAACCATCCCTTTGTAATACAAGGAAAGTCTCCCAGAGAAAATAACATACGAGTTTTTTATTAAATATTTTCTTTGCAAAAGATGCTAGCTCTGACTCTACATTTGTAAAAATAATTTGAAAACAAATTTAGTGGGCATTAGAGTACAATATTATTGAATGTAGGGATGAAAATAAATTTAATGATGTCAAATATATATATGTAGCAAAGTATATAGCCAAGTTTAAAGTGATAGTTATCTCATACGTTGCTTTATAGCCTACCACGATTCATTTTATCAACTGCTAAGGTCCCGTAACTGTAGGGAGGTAGTGGAGATTTACCAAGATAGATGGCTAGACCTGGGAAGCGCGGAACCGGGTCGGCCGGGAA